GGGGGGGGGAAGCAAAAAAAAGAAAGAATCGGCGCTGATAATCAGATCGCCTCCAAGTTGGAAAGAATGGAGCTGGGGGCGAGGCGACGGGAAGCAATCTGCGACTGGCAGCTCCGCTCGCCAACGGCAAAACATTCTTTTTGCATGCACACATAAACACATCTCCCCTGCCTAGTAGGTTTGCCTCGCTCTTACAAGTTGTTTTCTTGCAAGAGAGAAAGCAGAGCGAAGAGCGTACATAAGGAATCAAGAAAGACAGGCAGCCCTCTACTTTGCTACGGGAAGAGCAGCAATGTACAGGCATCCAAAAGTGCTGACAGCCCCGAAAGAGCTCATTATCAAAATGCTTCCTTTTTCCCCACCCCTTGACACAACTGGGCTAGGCACTTTTGATCATGGGAAAGGTTGTAGCTCCTATTTAAAACACTATCAAAGGAAATGCGAGCTTCTCTGCCTGCTGTTTGTTGTGCAACATTCTACCATGAACTGCTAAAAGCATCCTAGCAGTCACTAACACTGTGAAGGATCAATGTGGGCTCATTTGATGGCAGCTCAGCTGAGACCACAGTGTAGTTGGGCTTTAAGAAAAACAAAAACACAACAAGGAGAAAAGCAGGAGGCTGCTTTACACCCTGTAACTGTTTTCTCCCTGCCTGCCTGGCCCTCGGATGACTGGAGAGGAGCACTCGCCCAGCACGTCATCTGCCAGCGTGCTCCAGACCCGTGCACGCACACAAGCAGAGGATGCCATCACACGCTGCAGCAGGAGCTCTGTGTGAGTGTTTGGGTGTGCATCGCCACGTATCTACAAAGGGCGGTAATCTTGTAGAAAGCTGGAGGTATTGGACATCCCTGACTATCCTCTCTGCCATCTGCTTGCTGTCCCAGCTTATCCTGCTGTATCAACACACCACATTCCTCAACAACTTCAAGCTCAGGTGTACTTTAATCACGTCCCTCACCGCTTTATTAGTAGTCACGATCATGGCAGTGGCACAGAAGAGAGATGGGGAAGAAGTTGAATGTTCTTGTGGCGCCAGGCACAACAATCTCTGTTAGTGGCAGTTTATGCATGCCCCAGATGAGAAATGTATGGTCTAGAGGCCACAGAGAAGATCTTGGACCTCCCGATACTTGTCTCAGTACAAAGTGGCAAAACATCAGACCATAACAAGCCTACCAATAGGCCTGCCGCACAGATGATGCCAAAGCCTAGATCCCTCTCCCTAAGCCATGTACCCTGCGGATGATCATATCAACGTCCCATGGTTGGAAAGGGGGGGCTAGGTATAAAAAGTAGCCCTGATATATTTTAATAAATCCCCCAGCAACTGCTGAACATTTTGCTATCAGATTTGATGCCTGCAGCAAAAGATCAAGAGCCTAACGCTGGCACTGACATTTTACTAGCTCGAGAAGGGGCTGTCTGTGTTAACTTTCTGTGGCAATGCTGAAGACCTCCTGTCCCCCACACGGGTAAAGCCTGTCCACAGCACCAGACCTCCACCCACTGTGGCCCCCGCGGGGCCTGATGCCTGAGAAGCTCCCCCTCCCTCCCCCCAAAAAAAAGCTCAGGGGAGACTGCTGCAACCAGCACCCGGGGAGGCAAGAAGGTGGACACTCACGCTCAGTGCAGTACTGGCCTTTCCAGCCCGGGTTGCAGACTTTCTCGCCGCGCTCTCCGCAAGTGAAGTGACCAAAGGCATCGTCCCGGGGACGGCAGAAGACAGAGCAGCCTTCTCCATAGTAGTGCTCATCACACACGAAGCGATAGGAGTACTTGAGGTCAGTGCGGCCGCTGCTGTGCAGGTCCTGGGACCACTCTTCACCCACCGCCAAGTGCCTCTGGGTGGCCAGGCGGCTGATGAGGCGCTCGGGGTTTTCTGTGCAAAAGCAAAGAGGGAAGGAGTAATTAGGGAGCCCGAAGCAGGCAGGGGCGGGAGGAAGATGCTCAGCTGGGGGTCTCTGGTGGGAGGGGAACCACGAAGGCAAGTTGATGGGGCTGTGTGCCAACAGGTTGGCCTCTCTTCCCGTGGTCTCCCAAAGAGGAGCAGGGATGGGATGGGATGGGTTGGGGGGGAAGGAGCTGCATGCCGCAGAGAGTGGGGTGGAGGTGAGGCCACAGGGCTGGGATTATTCCGGGGAAGAGTCTGTTTCGGGACAGTTACCTGTGGTGAGGTCGTCAGGAGAGTCCGTATGCAGAGCCTCAATGATGAGCGAGAAGGTGCCCTGGGGAAAGAAGGAGCAGAGACAACCCACCGGGAGAGCGTGAGAGCAGGCAGGGCCAGGGGGCAGCGCCCGCAG